GCCCAAGCTCTGTCACAGGCTCTTTCACAGTGAATAATTAAAGAGTTTGTATAGTGGTTTTGTTGGACTTGCTTTTGAGCTCCGTAAATGTAAAGTTGTGTGAAGTAATCAAAGAAATAAAGTCTTACCTTCATAGAGAGTAGTCTGTGTTGTTCTCCTCGCGATTTGAGGCCGTTTTGATGTGTTTTAGCCCTAAATTACCGTGCATAAAATACGGGTTAGGGCGTCAAGCTAAAACACATCAAAACGGCCTCAAATCGCGAGGGGAACAACACAGACTACTCTCTATGCAAGTCCAACTAAACCACTATACGAACTCTTTAATTATTCACTGTGAAAGAGCCTGTGACGGAGCTTGGGTCACCTGTGCTTGTATGCGAATATATTCGTATTTATCTTAGTTTTATTAAGTCCATAATTTTTGTTCAGGTTAAACTCTCGGCTATAAGCCGAAACCCCCTCTACAAGTCAGATTTTAATTTAAGTTAGGCTAAACATGTGTAAAAATCGCTTGGCTTATAGCCGATAAAATACGGTACTTGTTTAGTACTCAACTCCAGTCATCCATTGCAAAATATTTATGGTTTTCATTTGAGGTATCCTAGTAATAATTTCCATCTTTTGACTGCTTTAAACAAATGGCTTCATAATCGATCTGCTCACAACTGAGATCTGATGTAGTAATTCTTCTTGCCGCTCTCTTGTTATCAAGATAACGCTCTTCGGGGGATAGTTTTGTCTGTTCTTGTCACATTCAGAGGATTTTCGGTATGAGATGCAAGGAGAGGTTCAGTTTTAATCACTTCTGGGGAAAAAAGGTGAACTGAGTGGAAGAAGTGACAAGAAATTTATCTCACGATTTTTTAGTAAATCGTTCGAGCACGACGAGCTTTCTAATCCCCAATGTTTTTATTTTAGTTTCGTAGCTGATAGAAATTTCCCCGTGTTTCCCTCTCGACGGAATGCTTAAGTGAGAAACATAACATTGCGTACTGGCTGTCATGTTTTACTCTGGATCAAAGATTGAGAGTCAGTCTTGGAACAGAGGGGTCGTGACCTATTAGAGGACAAAAGACTTGAATTTGTCTGAACGTTTCTTACCGTAAGATCATAAATCTAAAATATTTTCCGGCATAATTACACGGTCAGAGAAGTGAAACGCAAGGAAATGCGTACATCCCGCAGTATTTCTGTCTGTCACTGTACGACCTAAGTCGTGATTTAAAAATTATCAGTGATTTTTTTAAGTAAGCACATTTTCATTCGTCTCTTATTTTATGATCGGCGAAGGTTTTATCTGAACAGCATTTACACTATAAATGCAACAACAAGAACAACAAGTTTATTTGTTAAGGCAGGTTACTAAAATAGGCAAGACCATAAGTCCTGATGTGGACCTGCACACTAAATTAACATTATAATCACAATTGCACAATTTAAAATCTATAAAGTGATTCACAAGTTTACTCCTCCAGATAGGATGTTATACCTGAAAAATACGCACATAAGGAAAAACCTGTACAATTAGCTTGTACCTGCGGTCCATCGCGTTCATTTTCCCAAGTCTGGTTCCTCAGGAATGACTTACATATCGAGGCAATTTTCATTCTTATTTACAATTTTCACGAAAGTGTTGGGTTTGACTTTGAAATAAGACCAAATAACTCGTTGAGTATATTATGGAGACCTTGTAATTGAGTACGTTCTTTATTAGTATTGCACTGTGAATTTAAACCTTACTCATGCCTTGTTGGTAGGTCCTTGGGCTTGTTCGCTGTCCGGTGTACATCTTGAGAGACAAACGAGGCGGGCTTCCGTCATTTTTAAGACATGACTTTGTAGGAAATTCTCGACAACAGCTGCTAATCGGCTTGGAACACGAAGGGATATTAACTCCAGAGGAGATCAAGGAAGTCGTGCAACTCTCTCGATCAATTCCAGCGTCGGCGGCTAAATTGTGACAGTAACAGTGTTTGATATTGCCGGGGAAGTTGAGGTATGTGGAACTAATTTCAGTTGATAATGGCAATTAACAATGCCAATTGCTTTTCTGGGGAGGAGTGAACGTGCAGTCAGTTTTGGGCTTGATGCGTGGATGATGTTGATGAAGGCTGGAGGTTCCCTTAAAACCTTGGAGAAGTGGCTGTTTATTCTGGTCCATTCTTGGGTGTGCAAGCTTAATAAACGATATTCCTTTGTCACCATGGAAAAGATCTAAATGTAATCGCAAAGCATGACTTTTTTCACGAGCGAACAGCGTTCTACAGGAGAACTATGGCCATTTTGCTCACACGATTTCACTCTCGGTGAACACTAATATTATTATGAATATTATTATTTATTGTTGTGATTAGTATTTTTTTTTATTGTTACTACTGTTGTATAAGCGAGTTTGTATTCTAAACGCAGATTATTATTGTAAAGCTTTTTTAAAATTTCCCCCTGGCAAGTTTTTTTTTCATGTTTTTTTTTTCTAGTAGCAAATTCGAAAGCAACTGATTTCTGGAACTCAGTGGCTGGTCCATTGGGCGATGAAGGTTTTGTAGATTTATTCGTTAATCCAAAGATAACAATTACGTGCATTATTGTAAACGGCAATAAACGATATTAAGTGTGAAAAATGTCTGGGAATCTTTTTAAGCGTTTTCTCTTATGCTTGTTTGTTCAGCTTGTTTTTGTAACTCCCCAACCTTCATAAAAAGTCCTGTTATTTAATTAAATAACTCGCAATTTAGTCGCTTATTTGGCGATTGATTTAACCACTGAACTGTGCGATCATCATCATTATTTCTTAGTGGTACCGGATCTAAATTTAGATAGTTTTAATTATCGCGTCCTCGTAGAGTTGCAAAATTCGCGTAAGACTTTTGCTAAAAATAGTAAATTTCATGCGTTCCATTCTAATTACTTGTGGTTGTCTGTGACTGTTTGATAACTTCCCTACTTTTAGCCTACTCGTTACTGAGCGTATTTTTCTCTCAAATAGTAATAGAGTAAACAAGCGTTGTGGGATTATGAAGTTCCAGTTTAAAACCCCTCGAGCTATGGGACAGACCCGCGCGCGTGTTGCTCGCGTTGTCCGTGTTATTACAGAAAAAAGAAACTTTTTTTTCTGTAATAACATAGACAATCGTTGGTGACCTGAAGTTCAGGTCACCAACGATTGTCTATTAGAGGCTGGACTTTCAAGGCTGAGTGCTTTTGTTGCCAGTGTGGTAAAGTGAAAATGCACTGCATCATTGAATGATAGATTAGGCGTGGAATGAGCTGAAGAATTAATAGTTTAAAAATAGTCTCAGAAGTGAAATAGAACTTAGCTGGTCGGAAAGGTTTCTCGCTGCGTGGGTTAGGTGATTCTTGGCTCTCAGCCGTGAATGTACAGCAGGTAAACCACATGTTAAGTGTTTACCTCTTCAGGGCAATGTTTTGTCTTGTGCGTGACTCGAGTACACATTCCCTAGAGGGGCTTGCCTTTCCTTCAGCTCTCTCTTTGTATGAGGAAGTTCTCTTCTTTTTTTCTTTACCACTGACTGAGCTTTGTCTTTTTTTGACTTGTTTAAAACCTCGAGTGCTTAAAGAAAGAGGAAAGATCGAATTCCTTGTGGGCAGGAGGGCGAGACGCGTAATTATCTGAATCGAACCGCACGTCTTCAGATTTCGCGCCCAGATGTTGTGCCACTGATCCACAGAGAAACCTTAAGGTTAGCCAGGCCATCGCTAAGATTACAAAGTTCATGTGTGACACGAGTCTTGTACACTGTTAGGATCAGTAATGTGTCGGAGGCGCCGTGTTCGTAAATAGAATAAGAGAGGTGGTTCAGCCGGAATAGCTATCTTTTTCTATTTACTCCTCGTCCTCTGAGTTGATTTTTAATTTCTAAAGAATAGTGCGCTTCGAAACCGACGAATAGCAGAGTAATCTTTTTACATTTACTCTATATACTGAACTCAACCTGCGAAAAAACAGACCGTATATTGCCATTAACGACCACGGCCCCGCTCCACAAACTAGGTTCCATCTTGGCCTTGTTAACCATGTTGAGTTGACGCGACCATGATATTATCAACTGAGAACAAGAAACTATCACTGAATTGATACTGTTCTAAATTGACACCTGAAAGTATTCTTATATTTTATTTGCTATGTCGGGTTTTGCCGACCACGGATCCAGCCTGATGTGGTAACTGAGCGACAACAGTATGGATGGAGAACATGGCGTGCGGTATTCAAGTGGGCGTGAGGCGACAATTAACTCAGTTCTTGCGTTTGAATACCAAGGGTCAAGAGCTTTTTTGCTGGAAATCGCGAGGAGCATGCTAACACCTTAAAAAAAAAAACAAAAAACAAAAAACAAACAAAGCAGGAAACAAACCTCCTCTTCGTTTTCTCGAAAGAAGTTGACGAGGTACCCTTTGTGGAGTGTGATAAATTACATCCGCGACAGTCAAAAAAGCGGAAAATTCTACCCTTCCTGTGAAATTAATCAACACTCCTGCCTTTTTCCCCACGGTGCTTTTACTAGTTCATTTATCGGTGGACTTCAACCCTTTGCGAATCAAACGTTTCACTGAAGCGCAATTCTTGAAACAACTCCATTGTCGTTCGGCTAGACTTCCCATACGGAAATTAATTTTTGACGCATGTTATTGTGATGGTTTTAATTGTCGTTATCTCTTTAGCGATCTTATTTTGTGCTTTCTTTTGTAGTGCCTTGTTGAAAGGAAACCCTTTTATTTAATTATCTCTTTATCTTGGTGTAAACCCAAGTGCGATGATTACAAATACTCTTGGATCAGTAGGCACGCACGAAACCTGCGCAATGAGATTATGCTTAAATCAGCGGTTTAACAGCCCCAGCGACTTAGACAAATTTATATCAAGATAGATTATTTTAAGCTTGCCTCGCGTTAAACCGATTACACACTCTATAAACACTCCGTTGGAACAAAATTTGTGCCTGTGTTATGAATCCCATGTTCCGTTTTTGCTATCGATACCGGAAAAGGCGACCTCATTCTTCCGGCCACCTCTTTGAACAATTAAACGTGCCTGAAACAACGTCAAAATGCAGAACGAAGAAATACTAATGGCCGGAGCTTATGAAAAAGGTTACCTTGCCGTCTGTGTACTTTAAATTTAATTGTGAAAAAGAAACACCGTCTTATTGTAATCAATCGGCGTTTTTATAAGCTTGCTTTGTGAAAGGAAAAAATAACGCGTAACGTTTGAGAACTGCGTGTGAAAAACGATTGGAATCTGCTCTGTCTGACGTGATTTTCGTTGTGCGCGCTTCGTGCCGCAAAAAGTCGAACAGTTTGTAAAGATCCATTTTGATGTCAGTTCAAACCAACGTAGTGGGTGGATATTGTACCGCTTATATTATCTCTGTTGCTGATTTTGGGAAGATACGAGTTGAAGTGACTTGAGGCTCTGTTATGGTCACTCCGATTGATCAATTGAGTTGTAATTAGCTACTTTACCTCCGCCCACCCTCTGCGATCAACAAACAATCATTGTCAAGCGATAAACACTTTAAGCGGAAATTTAGCTATTAGAGGTATTAATCGGGTTACGTTTTTCAGCCAAAATGCCCGGCCGTTGATGTGACAATTCTTTATTGGGACATGGCGGGGCGAAAAAATGGTGGGAATTTTTGAAAACCAAACAGTGTTGTTAAATTGTTTCCATTTGGTAGGCTGAATGACAAGTCATCGACACATGCCCTTCCACTTTTCCATACGTCACCAATAACCGATTGATGTCATTTTCGGCAACCAATCAGGATTGTTGTTGTTCATTAGCGATGACAGCTGAAATGAAATTGGGTAGCCGTGAACTTCAGTAATATAAAAGCAAAGGACCAACCGACCTCTAACTGCATCACGTGTGGAATTCTATTTACGTTTTCATCAGTTTTTTTTTTTATTAGAAGGATCAGAGGGCCTCATAAGAGAAACTCCTAAAAGTATGAAGAAGAAAGAATCCATCGTATTTGTCTTGTTAATGTTGGTTCTTTTCCAAGACAGGTCCAGTGCCAGTTGGATGTTAGTATGTTTTTATCTCGTACATTTCCATTCATTAAAATCAAAAACAGAAGCTTTTCCAATTTGATGGACAAATACTTGAGCGGTGGCGGTGAAGCTGATGATAAAGTTTCTTGACTTGTTTTAAAGGTGGATGGGAATTTCGGCGTTGGGCACCCGAAGCAGTGGAAATCTGACGACTTGTTATGGAGTTCCTGGCTTGTCCTCTCAGCAGATGACTGTCTGTAAGTCCAAACCGGACCTTATTCCAACCCTAAGACGAGGAGCAAAGCTTGGAATTGGCGAGTGTCAAAACCAGTTTGCTAAAGAACGATGGAATTGCTCCACCACAAATACCTCGTCAGTATTCGGTGGAATTATTAACATAGGTGAGTGCAACTCTCTGCAGTTCAACTTTTCTCACTGTACGTCAGTGATGTTACTACAAGTTTCCCTTTTCTCCGTGACAGGAAGTCGCGAGGCTGCGTTCATTTACGCGATAACTTCAGCTGGTGTGGTACATGCGGCTAGCAGGTCATGCAGTCTTGGGAACCTCAGTGAATGTGCTTGTGAAACTCGCAGGAAAAGGAAGCTGCCCTCCAGAGGATGGGAGTGGGGAGGCTGTAACGATGACGTGAAGTTTGGTATCTGGTTGTCAGAGACATTTGTGGATGCACCTGAACGGAACGAGCGAAGTGTCACAAGCTCTGATAAGAAGGCACGTTTACGGAAGAAGGCAAGACATGCCATGAACCTTCATAACAATCAAGTTGGCAGACTGGTGAGTCATTAGCACACTGATTTCCAAGCTTTAAGTTTGTTAATGGAGTTATCAGCCTCCTAATGAAGTTGACAATCTGCGATCGACACTTAAGATTAAAGGCTATCCGCACCTTCGAATAATTTGAATCAAAGAAAACAAAGTGTTATCTTGTGTGAATGTTAATCCGAAAATTTGCGAGAAAATCTGAAAACGTAAGATGGTTGGGTTTAAATGTCATTTAAGCGATTTAAAATGTTGCGTTCGAGCAGCTCTTAGGTTTAGTATATATATTTTTGGAGTATTTACGTAAGTTCGAAAACGCAACTAGTCACGAATGGAAATATTCATCAAAATGGCAGGTTTTCAAGGAATTTCATGGATATTCCGATAGAGAGAGAAAAAAAATCGAAGGTAGAAGGTTTATTTGTTTAAGTATAGAATCACAAGTGTATTAACTGCGCCAATAGTCTTCTTGGCCAATTTTCAATTGCTCTTAATTGCCTAAAATGGCTCCCTTTCACAACAAATTTATGAAATTTTCTTTTTACACCGACGAATTAGAATTGCATAATTACAAATTGCTATTTGATTGTTTGAAAGAAGGAACTGGGCCGCTTGCATAAAAAAAATCTCGTGGGAAAATTGTGATTGCTTTGTTCGAGATCGATGTAATGTTAACATATGGTGTTCAGTTCCAAATAAAAACAGTCTGATGTAAAATTTGATACCAAAAAGACACAAGGTTCAATCTTCATCGATCAACAGAACAAAACAGTTTACTTGTAAATAGCATTTATTTTGGGAGAGGACTTGCTGGTAATTTTATCAGTTATCTTCTTAATTTCACGAGCATGTGGAAGGTAATTTGATTGTCATTTTTATTGAGTCATTTATTGACTAAATACGTTCACATTGGGCCATTTAATTTTGAGTACGCACAAGGTAAACAGTTTAAAAGACCTTGGATGGCAGCTTACTTAACGGCACCCGGGATGCTTTTCATTTCAGAACTCGAGAATTCATATCAGGCGCTGTCATTACGGCCAAAAATGGTAAGTCCAAATGTGATTTGGACTTACCATTTACGTGTACTCTGTTTTTTCATGCTATGTCCAAGCTAGACACATTGAGCCAACAAACTATCAAGTTTCCACATAATTTTTAGCTTGGTAAAATTCTTGGGAAAGTTTCGTTACAACAGGGTCTTGGATTTTAAGGATAAGAATAGAGTTATTTGCGGCTTTTCAAATTAAAGGTGGTTTGTCAGTAGGCGATCTACAATTCCAGACATTTCACAAGTTTTTTTGCTCGTTTCCTCCCAATTTTCACCACACGCAAAACTGGCTGTTAAAGACATTAGACAATCTGAGAGGAAAAAGTCATGTAAACGATTTTGCAAGGGGTTTTAAAGTTCAATTTCTTATGCGGATATTGCAACAGTGGTACCTCACATCTTGTTTCTCTTGTACTGTTGGCCTACAGAAAGTGATTCTGATGTCTTCCTTGACTTATTCCGCTGGAATTTGGAATTTGGAATTTCTCTTTGACTTGATAGTGTTTGGGTGATTGAGTGGCTACTTCTAAATCTCTCCAAATCTGGAGTGGTACCTCCCTCGACAAGCTATTTATCATGTGTTCCCTTCAGATTCCTCTTAACAGCAGAACAACACGCTCCAACGCAATGGATTTTGCATGTGTTCAGCAATTATCGCTCGCACGTTCTTATTTTATAGCTTACAACACTGGAACAACCTAAACATAACGCTCACAGTGTTTAAGTTTGTATTTATCAGCGGGCCATAGGTAAAAGCCCAGCAAGACTCAAGACCATTTGGAAAAATGAATTTGGTTTTATTATTGTTCTTATTACGTTGACCTCCAGCTAAAGAAAACAAAAGGATCAAAGCCTACTCTGAACTCAATTTGATTATAACATCTTTTCCCTCTGTCCATACTTTAACGGGAGACGAAATAATTGGAGATCCTTTAATACTATAAATATCGAACTCGTGAGTGTAGATGACGATAAATGTGTAGGAGTTTTTCTTTGGCATAGGAAAGATCCTTTTAAAGCAAGTTTTCGCATTCCTGAAGCTAAAAGTTCTGTAGTCTGGATTCGTGAAAACTAAACGATCATGGATGAGATTTTCGTGTCTTAGAGCAAATGAAAGTTCGGTTCATGTCAGTTAGGAACAAAATGTTATGTTTTGATTATGTCGAAAATGTCCGGTAACAAGGGAAGAAGAAATTGCGTGTTTTCTCAGGTTATTCATTTTTAGATTGGCTTAGTTCCGTTGAAAGCGCATTATCCACCGGTTTTTTTTTACTTTACGAAATTCACCTCATCTCAGTTGTGGTTGCGGTTTCCGTCATCGATAAACACATGAAGTCGGGATTAATGTGGAGTATTTATTTATGTTTGGAATTTGATTGGTGTTTACATTATCGAAAAAGCGTGTGCATCAAGTGCTGTTCTTCTGTCGGCCATCAGGCCGTTTGTCGTCTCGCAAAATAATGAGTTTTCAGCATCAGCAACTGTCATTTCATCAAAGGAATTTTTGATTCTCTGAAAATCCAGCAAATAATGCGTTGTTTGCTATTCTAACATGAGTTGTAACTGCTCACGTAGTAAGATGATGCGACCGGCGCATTGTGCTGTCAAATTACTCTGTAGTGTGTACACAGACAAGATTTTAACTTCACTTATGTTAATTGGCGGCATCAAGAATGCCCAAGCTTGCCGATGTCGGATGTTGAACAGTGTTTGATTTGTAGCCGCACTCAAAAGAGATCACGTACGTACTCATACTGCTGGGCACACTCAGTCGGTGTACGATTGAGATGATGATTCCTTGCACGCTTTGAAGACTTCAGAGTTAGCTCGGTTTGTTCTTATTTAATCATTTTACATTAAAGAGATTAACGGTTTGTTTTGATTCATCACAGCCGTTGTCTTGTTAGTTGCCGCTATTTGCAGTGATTTGGTAGAGAGAGTATCTTTGTTCAGATTAGAGGCGTATGAGGACACCGAAGCTACTCCTGTTTTGATGTTTTTTAGACTCGCGACCAATACACGAGCTGTAGAACTGCTTTACTGCGTTATGGTATCAAGGCAGGGTGAGACAATACAGCGAATTTTATGCCTCATATGTACATTTTGAGTCTACAGTCGTTTTGACTATTACAACTGAAAATTTTAAACTAACCAACATTCATGATGTGTGTGTGTGTTTTTTTTTTCATTGTTGAGTTGTGCTTACAACAATTATTAAGCCGTATCTTGCGTCATTTCTCGT